CCAACCAAAAGTGCCAGTAACTGTGCTTTGTAACTTTACAAAGTTACAAATAAACAAACGACACTACCAAACTAAATTAGTTTCAAATCAGGTAGTTAAGTTTAAATAACCAAAACTAAAATCAATGAAGAAAACACAAAGCTGGGTTCCTTAACCAAACAAATAAAAATACACCAAAAGCCACATGTTGGCTTACAAGGTCCCTACCCAGGTTAATCCCTTTAACAAAACTTAAAAAGGACTAACTTTAAACAACAARTAGACCCGGCAGAATTAAACAGAGCCAAGGTCAAACATTCTAACCCACAAACACTTCTAAGTGGCAAGCTGCTAAGTGTCAGCYGCCCTGAACAACAGAACAGCTGGTCTTAAATAAGGAGATGTCGTCACTGATTGGATAAGTGAAGATGAGCWGTCCAATCAGGTCGCAGGAGGTGTCGCAGGTGAGCCAGGAGGGGTGGGGTAGAATTGGACCAGGTGAAGATGAATGGTCCAATCGGGATGCAGACAGTCTGAGTCTCCACCTGCACACAAACCTTTCACACACAAATGGACTTTGGCCATAACACCCCCTATTTCAGGCTGAAAATTATGGTTTCAAGCTAAAGACTGATTATGCTTTAACAAGACGAGAGACAACAGATCAGTCATTACGTCTTTTCAGACATTGTTGCCTCACTGTTTACAGTCAGGCAGAAGACCATTCATTTGCTTTCTTTTACCCACTTCAGCCTTTCTGTATCACGGGTGCCCATGCCCAGTAGTCACAGTGCAAGGGGCAGGGGACACCCTGGACAGGTTGCAAGTCCATCGACAACCATTCACGCTCTAGCCCATAAGGACCATTCAGAGTTAGCGATTAATCTAACATGCAGACAGACGACGTGGGGATAAATCATTGTATTTTCTCCCACTGTCACACATGTTGTGTATATCTACATATTTAAACTCAACAGTGATGGCAGGACAGATATTTATTTATTTATTTAGTTATTTATTTATTTATGTTTTGTTTTCATTTATCGGGCATTGTAAGAGAGGCTTGATTACTGGATAGGGAGTTGGAGGAGAAACAAGGAGATCTTGTATTTCTCTTGTTAACCACAAGGATGGAAAGAAGACGTGAGCATCAGTGGCACATTTGTGTCTCAGTAGGACCAGATGAGCTTCTCTTCAAAGCTGACCATCTTTTGTGTCAGATTTAGACACAGTTCTGACTGAGGGCAATGTGCAAGATGGTGTCAGCAGGTGGTACCAGACGGAAGCTACGAAGTTTAAATCATGACATGAGAATGGAAGCATAGATCAGCCTGAAAAGGAAACTACTCTTATCTCAGCAACTTCACAAATATGGAGAAGATCCTTCGGCTCCCCATACCGTCACCCTGTTCTCTACAATGGAACATTCAGATCTTGCTCTTAAACACATTCCTAACAGGGAACAAGCTCAGCTTTGTACTATAAAGCACAGTTTGGAAGTGATCACAGTATCCTCTCAAAATTCCTTAGAGAACAGAGCCTTCAGATCCACAAAATACGTGTGGACTTGAAAATCTAACTCTTGTGACACCCCCAGAAACTCAGAAAGAGTGAAGATCTGGTTCATTGTTCCACGATCCAGATGAAAACCTCACTGCTCCTCTTGAGGTTCGTTTTACTAACATTTAGACTCTAAATGTTTGTATGTTTGACAACTGCCCAACTGAAACAAAGTCTTGTGAGATCATGTTGTGAGCGCTGTGTCACCGCACCCAAAACTTGTGAGACTACTGTGAATGAAACCTGGTCACGTCTACAAGATGGGGAGGGCGGAGGGAGCACATTCAAGGCTGGAATGTGCTTAAACTCCTCCCACCTTCACCGTTTCTGCCAGAGTTAGAATGAAGCTCAGTGAGCAGACATGCCCCG